TGTATGTTACTAGAATTTTACAAAATATCATTCCAGTAGATTATGTCTTCTAAAAACTTAAAATAGTTGTGGAATGAAATGTCTAATTATTTGGTCTGGCATTGAACGAATATTGTCCAGCCGAGCCGAGCCCAAGATAACTGGGAGGCAACATTGCCTACTCCTATTACCATGGAATATACATGCAGGGTGTTTGGAGGGGACGCATGTGATTTCAGATCAGTTTTTGGAGAGTTCGAGAAGGCCATCTCCATTTATTCCCCACAATTTAATTTTGAAGTTTACAGTTGTTTTGACCTTCAAGTAGACATTCCTTTCATCTCATTAGGTCATAGCACTTAGCTTAACTGCAGAGCCGAAGTCTAGTATGTTAAATATTTCTGTTCCTTGTTTCCTCATCATTCCCATGTCAAGGATCTGATAAAATCCTTTGACGTGTATAATGAATGATTCTGTTCATGCTCTTATCTCATGTGCCTTTACCCCTTTTCATTCACCCTTTACACTTCCCATTTTATTGCCTTGCATGGCTCCAAGGGTGTAATTTAAAAGAACTCCCTTGATGGTTTTTTTCCCTCCAAACTCAGGTGCTTTAAATTATTTTTATAAAGCATTCCAGCCTTGTGTGGAATTTCATAGTCTAGCTCTACAACTATGTCTGTGTGTCTTCTTTCTCCCTAGCAGATTGTAGTGTTGTTTGAGGAATCAGATATAAATATGATTCCATAATGTACTAAACAATGGATTGCAAAAAAAGAGGCATGGCTAAATCACCTTTGTTAGGCTTCCTACTAAATCCACTATTTTCTGAGACAACACGAGGCCTCCTGGCATATCAAAGACATGTTTATTTGGCATGAGCTTTCATAGACAGTAGCTCACATTTCGAATTGTACTGATAATGCATTGCATACTGTGGACTAGTGTAGTGGTTCTCAAAGTGGGGTCCCCAGATGTTCTTGGACTGCAGCTCCCAGAAATCCTGGCCAGCACAGCAAGTGTTGAAGGCTTCTGGGAATTGCAGTCCAAGAATATCTAGGGACCCCAGTTTGAGACCCACTGGTGTAGGGGATGGTGCAGCATGTGGAGCACAGTGTGTAATACGCAAGACTTTGTTTTCTTGCAGTCCAAGAATATCTAGGGACCCCAGTTTGAGAACCACTGGTGTAGGGGATGGTACAGCATGTGGAGCACAGTGTGTAATACGCAAGACTTTGTTTTCTTGCAACAGGCTAACATAACTGCCTACCCCGCAAATGTTTACAAGAATTTATATTCCACACTTAAGGAACTTGACAGGGAGAGAGCAGGATGGTGCTTTCCGCTACAGTCCATGACATTAATATGAGGTTACATGACATTTTTGTAGTCAGCAAACACTGAATGTATGTGTCATTTGGAACATTTGAAGTTACAGCCAGGATCTAAGGAAATGGGCAATTCGTTCTATATGTTTAGGTGGGGGTTTCAGTTTGAACCGGTCCTGGTTCCGTCTGATGAACTATTTTTCGAAAGTGACCTTTAGAAGCCATATGTGATAGGCCAGTCCTAGCATTAGGAAGAGTGAAGTGATTGTGTTAGGTGGCAAATGCCAGGGTTTAGGGAGTAGAGCCTGAGTGTTGAGAGCATTTTGCACTGCACTTGAGAGTAGCAGACTAGCTTTGAGGATGCAGGAAAGGCCACGTGGGTCGATAGATCTGTCCTCTCAACACCTTTATTAAGCAACTAGAAGAGATCTTTTCTTTCATCTTTGGTGACCCCTGAGTTATAGGAACAGTTATTTAAAAAGATATGAATCACTATTTACCTTATACCTTAAAAGACGTTCTCTTATATGTACAAGGTGATTGGAGAGCAGATGCTATCTGTGCTTCTTGGAGGCTCCTTGGACTTTACCCTTTAAATAAAAATATTAAAACCAAAGTTGAGGGGGAAGGGCACTGAAGGAGGGAAGGAAGAAATGGTGGAGGAAAGATGATATGGGAGTTGAATATAGAGAAGGGGGCAGGATAATGTATGCTAATTAAATCAACCATTTACTGAAGGAATTAGATTTAAAAAATATCTTTGTTTGTAGAAATGATTTCCTCTGAAGAATGGTGATAGTGTATCTAGGGTGGTTATGGGTGACATTGGCAGGCAAGTTTTAATTCTAGGTTGCAAATCCAGTGGCAGGTAGTAGACAAGGTTTAGTTACTCACCCCCACCATAGTGGGAGAGACATCTTCTTACTCATGCTTCAGTCTGTGCCTTAATCTTTGAGGATCCATGTGAGAGGAAGTGTTTACCACAAAAGAGCCCATTTGCACGGGCTCTTAAAAGAGAGTAGGTGCCTATGTTATCCCAATGGGTTGTAAAAATAAAAAAACTCGAAGATTTGTTGTTGTTTAGTTGTTAAGTTGTGTCCGTCTCTTCGTGACCCCATGGACCAGAGCACGCCAGGCCCTCCTGTCTTCCACTGCCTCCTGGATTTTGGTCAAATACTTGTTGGCAGCCTCAGTGACACTGTCTAACCATCTCATCCTCTGTTGTCCCCTTCTTCTCTTTCCTTCACACTTTCCCAACATCAGGGTCTTTTCCAGGGAGTATTGGAGCCACAGCTTCACAATTTGTCCTTACAGTGAGCACTCAGGGTTGATTTCCTTCAGAATGGATAGGTTTGTTCTCCTTGCAGTCCAGGGGACTCTCAAGAGCCTTCTCCAGCACCACAGTTCAAAGGCATCAGTTCTTCGGCGGTTAGCCTTCTTTATGGTCCAGCTCTCACTGCCATACATCGCTACTGGAAAACCCATAGCTTTGACTATGCAGGCCTTTGTCAGCAAGGTGATGTCTCTGCTTTTTAAGATGCTTGTCTAGGATTGTCATTGCTTTCCTCCCAAGAAGCAGGTGTCTTTTAATTTCATGGCTGCTGTCACCATCTGCAGTGATCATGGAGCCCAAGAAAGTAAAATCTGTCCCTGCCTCCATATCTTCCCCTTCGATTTTCCAGGAAGTGATGCGACTAGTGGCCATGATCTTAGTTTTTTTTGATGTTGAGCTTCAGACAATTTTTGTGCTCTCCTCTTTCACCCTCATTAAGAGGTTCTTTAAATCCTCCTCACTTTCTGCCATCAGAGTGGTATCATCTGCATATCTGAGGTTTTCTTCTGGCAATCTTGATTCCGGCTTGGGATTCCTCCAGTCCAGCCTTTCGCGTTATGTATTCTGCATATAAGCTAAATAAGCAGGGAGACAGTATACAGCCTTGTTGTACTCCTTTCCCAATTGTGAACCAATCAGTTGTTCCATATCTAGTTCTAACTGTTGCTTCCTGTCGCACATATAGATTTCTCAGGAGACAGATAAGGTGGTCAGGCACTCCCATTTCTTGCCATAGTTTGCTGTGGTCGACACAGTCAAAGGCTTCTGCGTAGTCAATGAAGCAGAAGTAGATGTTTTTCTGGAACCCTGTGGCTTTCTCCATAATCCAGCGCATGTTAGCAATTTGGTCTCTAGTTCCTCTGCCCTTTGAAATCGATCTTGTACTTCTGGGAGTTCTCAGTCCACATACTCCTGAAGCCTACCTTGGAGGATTTTGAGCATATCCTTGCTAGCGTGGGAGATGAACTCAGAGATACCTGCACGTATTCAAGGAAGGCCTGAACCAGCCAGATGTAAAGAATACATATCGAGCTCCACCTACACCATAGAGACTTCCATGAATATTTTTTCTCCTGCTGTGTTTTCAGCTAAGGCTGAAAATGTCTCAAGACCGCTAGTGCTGCACCCAGTTTGCATGATACGGAATGTCCACAAGTGAAACGAAGTGGCTGGGGAGGAGGCTATTTCTGGGTCTCTCTGGACTGAAATGTTCATATGTACAAAACTGATTGGCACTGGATGCTAACCACCGCTGCCTCCCTTTGCAGAACTTGGAAGTAACACATTTAATGATTTGAAATAAGAATGAGGCAAATGATGGTTATCTGCTTAATGAGTAGCATTTACTTGTTATTGTATAACATCACATTGAGAGAGATCTGATGTTTTGTGTGTCATTTTTGTTATTAAAAAAATTAAATTAGAATCAGTAGTGTGTTAATAATGCATTACTATACTCATTATTCGAGAGCAGCAAGCCACATGTTATATATAAAAAAATTAACTAATGAGTACCATTTAGTATTTCAAAGGGGCAGTTTAAAAATATAAAGCCCAGAAAATGCCCACATGCAGTTTCAGAGAGATCTTACCCTTCAGAACATCCTCTCTTGAAAGCCTGAGAGATCTTCTTTCCCTGTGGGTGCATCTGTGCCTGTGTATTGGGTGGGCTAGTGTTGACTCTACCATTATGTACAGTGTGGAGGTGCTTCAGGCAACAGGATTTGAGGAGGGGAAGGAGCAGCAAATTGCACTGTTCCCCTCCCTAGGAAACAGCTCACAATTGCAACTGATTTCCTGTCCTTCCTTTCCTGCTCCCCATGCTTTATTTTGGGCTTGCCATGATTGCCAGTCTCCATCTCCCCCTCTTTTGCATGTGCAAATGTTCCTTGTGTTTGCTGCCCCTCTTCCTCTGTCTCTGAGTTATGGAAACACCAGGCAGCTGGTGCAATATACCCTGAAGGCAAATGCCAGCAGGCCAAAGCTGGCATGGATAAAGAGGATATGGAAAATGATGGGGCAGGTAGGAGTGGCAGGTGAGATGCCTGCATGCAGGTTAGCTTGCACCATTTAGTGACTGGTCTTCAGGACCGAAGCACCAGAATCCTTTGCAGTCTGATTTCACAAACACAGACAAACATCGTTGCTAACCTTTCTGCAACCTTAGCATGCTTTCAGTTTTAATTGTGGGCCATGTTTAATGTCCATTTCTGGCCTCAGGGTAATCATATAGCAATCCTCGAAACAAAGATGTTTCCCTTTTGTCATTCCACGCAACTGTGTCAGAGTGAATGTATGTACACACATGCTTGCTCGCTTAACCGTTTGCTCACTCTCTTATTCCACTGCACATTTTACAGAGACGAAGGGATTTCCTGCAGCTGATGCTTGATGCCCGAAGCTCCACTAATGATGTCATCATGGAACATTTTGACATGGACGACCAAGCAGAGGTTTGCCTTCACAAAAGCAAGACAGCTGCCAACGAAGCACTGCCTCAGAAGCAACAGCAAAGACTGAGTGATGATGAGATAGCTGGCCAGGCCTCCTTATTCCTGGTTGCTGGCTACGAAACTACCAATAGCGCCCTCTCTTTTGCCACTTACCTGCTGGCCACCAACCCCAAGTGCCAAGAGAAGCTCCTCCAAGAGGTGGATGACTTTTTCAGAAAACATGTAAGTTGGCAAATCGATTACTTGTCTGCTTTTGTACATAAAGGGGAAGAAGAGTCTTCAGCCAGAAAGTGTAGAATGTATGTAACAAAGCCAGCTGAGGAATTGATATGAAAAATCCAGGAATTGTACATGCAGTGTGACATTTAATAAAATACAAATGTTCCCATCAGAATCAAATACCACCCAAAGGTATCTGTCAGATCATAGCTGACATATTCCTATTTTTGGAAGGAAAATGATATGACCAGTGTCTTGTCCCCCTCCTTATGTTACTAACTTATGGCTGGATAGTTTGTGAGTGCAGGGCCAGTTCCCACTATTTTCTGGATCAGGTAGTGAGTCTTCTGTAATTCAGTAGACCAGTGGCGACAGTCTGCCCGATGAGTACATACCTAACGTAGTAGGTTTGTAGGCAGTTAAGACCAAAGACCAATTCAAACCATTGGTCCACTTACCTCAATTCTATGACCCTCCGGATCTGGTCAGGCTGCAACCCTTATGAGCCCTGAATGGTATGTCCAGAGATGAGGAATGCTGGGAGTTGTCCTTTGACAAGATCTGGAGGGCCCCACTTTGCCCATCTTTGATCTACACAGATTGGCAGCAGCTTGAGACTTTCGGACAGGGATGGACACTGAAACATTATGCATGTGCTCTGCCTCAGAGCTGCAGCCCTTCCCTCAGTCGGCAAGCAGCAGCTTTAATTTGGTAGTCGTTGTAAGCCCTGCTTGTTAAAAAGCACTAAAAGTATGTTAGTTAAACTGTGAAATTTCATGGATAAGCATATTTGGGAGAGGAGCACCATCCTTTCCCATTCTATGGTGTTTCTCCTAGCCTTCCCCCCACCCCCAAAGACATCAGTCCCTACACCCAAGATGTCTCTTCTGGTAAGGACAAGACAGGGCTAAGACAGAAGTTGCAGGATCTTCACTTCCTGCTCCATCTCTGGTAATGGCGCCAATAAGAGTTAAGGGGCAAGTTGATGGAGATCATTAAATCAAGAGGAACAAGGCTGCTTTGAGAGGCATGTTCCTAGACCAGAGTCAATGACACAACCTTTGAAATCTAGTACAGTGGTGCCCAGCTTTTACATTTACCTTGCTCCACAACGAATCTGCTTTACGATGAGTTTTTTGCGATCGGTATTGTGATCGCAAAACGATGTTTAAATGGGGAAAATCAGCTTGACGACGATCGGTTCCCTGCTTCGGGAACTGATTTTTCACTTAACGACGATCAAAACAACTGATTGTCGGGGTTTCAAAATGGCTCCGTGCTGTGCAAAATGGCACCCGCTGTGTTCAGGACGGATTCTTCGCTTTACAGGCATTGGAAAATGGCTGCCCTATGGAGGATCTTCGCTGCACGATGAGGTATTTCACCCATTGGAACACATTGACCGGTTTTCAATGCATTTCAATGGGGTTTTTACTTTTGCTTGACGACGATTTAACAGCGATTTGAACAGAACAGATTATCATCGTCAAGCAAGGCACCACTGTAATAAGTTGCAGCTAGAGTAGATGCATTGAATCAATATGGTTTTGGTGAGTCAGCTCCTCTGTATGTTCCTTTGATTCAATAGGTTTACACTAGTTGTGTCTTACTACTGGGTTGCAGACCTAACACAATGATCCAGGAACGGAATGCTTTACAGGCCATGTTGAATCTGTCAGTTGCCCATATAACTGAAATATAGTTACAGTGGGGTCTTGACTTGAGAACTTAATCCGTATTGGAAGGCGGTTCTCAAGTCAAAAAGTCTGTAAGTCAATTCGCCATTGACCTACAGTGCATTGAAAGCCAATTAATCCCGTAACAGGCCGTTTTTGTTCCATTTTGGTTTTTTTCTGGTCTGTAAGTCAAATCTCAGTCTGCAAGTCAAACCTAAATTTTGCGGCCAGAGAAGTCTGTAACTCAAAAAGTCTGTAAGTCAAGCTGTCTGTAAGTCAAGGGTCCACTGTACACCATCATCTGTATTGTCAGTGACTTTTTATATCCTGCCTGCCCACTGTTCTGCAATGGAAGATGGTTGAATATAATCTGCCTTTTCATTCATACACAGCATAACTTTGCTCTGTTTCACCCACTTACGACCCTTTTCCTGAACTTTAGGAATGTAGTCAAGTGCCTTAGCCAATGAGACTCTCCTGGTTGTAAAATCATTGTATCAAGGACTGAAGACAGATAAGGATTAGACTGAGACAGCTCATATTTCATTCTGTGCAAGTCCTTTCTTTTCTAAACACATTAATCTCTGCCATGTTTATACATACTTGCTTTAAGCATTGAGTTGTTGTGGTATGAAGTTAATAAGATGGTCAGGGATGGAAACCTGTAATCTCAGCTCAACCATGAAATATACAAAGAATAAGATGAATATGCAATGTGAGATTGTTGTGACCATTCCTAAGGTAATAGATTCAAGAACTTGGGGGGAAATGTTGCATTAATATTTAACAAAGGTAGTCATTAGTGATATTCTGGTGCTCATTGAAGCTGAATCTGACATTCTTTGGCTATTCCTCTCTACAGTGCCAATAAGGATATGGGAGTTCCTTCATTATCTCAAGAACTCCATTGCATTGCATTTCTTCATAATCTCAAGGACTATAAGCCTTTTCAAATGGTATTAAAGCTAGTTTGTGAATATGTTCAGAAGGCAGCCTTCTCCATTGCTGTGCTCCTCAAGTTTTCATCAACCCATTGGAACAGGAAAGCTTCCTGCTCATGTGCAAGTTCTTCACATCAACGAAAATCCAGATTTTCCGGGGCTTTTGCTTGTGTGTAGAATTTTCGACAGCAGGGACCTGTTTTCATACTGAGCCTTAAAAGTTTGAACAATGTGAGAATGGCTGGGGCTCCTCTCAAAACCTGTTCATCACAATGCTGGCTTCAGTAGCTCTTAAATATGACTGACTGAGCACGAGGGCGATTAAGTGTGTCAATGAAACTGAGAGCAGTACCATCAGGAAGCTGGACCTTCTAACAAGTCTGACTCCTAGCAGAGTCACCCAAGGCAGGATAGACAATGCTGTAACACCAGGTGGAGATACATCTGTCTTCCTCAGAAATTTATGGAAGCATCAGCAGAAGAGAACTGATACAGTGATGCCTCGCTAGATGGTGATAATCCGTTCCACTGAAATTGTTGTTTCGCAAAATCATCGTCTAGCGAAAAGCATTTCCCTATTGGAATGCATTGAAACCTGTTTAATGTGTTCCAATGGGGAAGAATCGTCGTTGTCTAGCGAAGATCGGCCATAGGAAAGCCGCTTTGCGAACCGCCAATCAGCTGTTTAAATAGCTGTCTTGCAAAGCTTAGATCCCAAAAACACCCGTTTTGCGAGTGCGGAGGGAACTGTCAAAATCGTTGTCTAGCAAAAATCGGTTTGCGAAGCAGGGACCAAACATTGTCCCGTGAAATTCCCCCATAGGAATCACTGTTTTGCGAATCGCTATAGCAATCGCAAAAAGTCAATGTCTAGCGAAAAAACTGTCATGCAGGGTAACTGTCTAGTGAGGCACCACTGTATTTAAATGGATTACATAGGCTTGTTCTTGAGTTTTCCCAAGCTTGTCTTACAGTAGTTCCTATAATATGTAGGGTCAGATTTCTGAAGGATTTAAAGGTGGTCTGGTAAAAATACTTGAAGTAAGTGCAAATCTTAAATATATTAAATGTTTTATTCTCTTGAATGCATCCACCTTCTTCAGAAAAGTGTTGTGTAGTTCCAAAGGTCATGAGTAGAGATGGCCACAAATTGCCGGTTTGGCCGTTTGTGCCACTTCATTTATTGGCTGAACCTCGGCACGACTTCCTTCCCCCCCCGTCTCCTCTGGGCACACCCCCTGCTGGAGGAGGTGAGGCTTTGAAGTGCTGAATACCCACCCATTCAGCCAATAAATGAATGAGCATGGACTGCCGAACCGAGCAGAGAAATCCTTGAATGTCAGCAATAGTGGAACGTGAAAAGTGTGACTCAAGACAAGTTCTAAACTTTAAAACAAGAAATGGAATATTTAAATGGTATAATATTTAGTTGTCAGGTCAGGGATTCTGACACCTGAAAATAGCTCTAAGAAGCCTACAGAATTTTACAGACGTCTAGGGGAAAATCAGAAGCCTGTGTTCATCACAGCTGGCATTTATCCCAATTAAGGATGAATTCCAGAATGAAACCAGACTGCAGCTGAACATTAGGACAAAAATCATTGCCACAGAAGAATTACATAACCTGAATGTTGGCAATGAAGAAACTGAAACCTTGGTTCAATCATCAATCCAAATGGAGACTGCAGCCAAGAAATCAGAAGATGGGAAGGCAGCAATGAAAAACATTAAAAATAATAATCAAGTGTAAAGATGTGTCACTGGGTACCAAAAGCAAGACCATCCACACATTTGTATAGTAGGTCCCCCTATTCACGGGATCAGTATCCGCTGATTCACTTATCTGTTGCCTAAAAATACTAAATTATAAACCCCAGAAATACGTATTTATATGCGTTTCCGCAGTGTATTTAGCAGAACTAGCCACTAGAGGGAGCCAGAGACAAAGCAATGTATAGTGTTTGATACTTTCATATTTTTTGGCATCCATGGGGATGGGTTAGATCCACTCCCTCACAGATACCATGGTTCTACTGTTTTTCTAATCATTTTGTATGGGTTTGAAAGCTGGACAGGGGGGAAAACCAATTTGTTTTAAATATATGGTGCTGGAGGAGAGCTTTGCAGATACCCTGATCTGCCAGAAAGAGTAAGAAGTGGGTCCTAAAGCAAATCAAGCCTGAACTATCTCCGGAGGCTAAAATGAAACTGGGACTGCGATACCATGGTTCTACTGTTTTTCTAATCATTTTGTATGGGTTTGAAAGCTGGACAGGGGGGAAAACCAATTTGTTTTAAATATATGGTGCTGGAGGAGAGCTTTGCAGATACCCTGATCTGCCAGAAAGAGTAAGAAGTGGGTCCTAAAGCAAATCAAGCCTGAACT